CGCGGTCTAGCTGTACTATGGGACATTATTCATCTATAAAAAGGAATGAAGTACTGACAACATGGATGAAAACATTATGCAAAGCATAAGAAACCAGACAGAAAAGGCCACATCTTGTATGATTCCATTTATGTGCAATATCAAAATAGGCAAACCCACAGAGACAGAAAGTAGATTAGTGATTGTCAGAGGCTGGGGGTGAGGTGTGGTGGGGATATTGTGGAGTGACCACTAAATGGGTACAGGGGCTTCTTTTGGGGTGATGAAAATATTCTGTGATTAGACTGGGGTGATGATTGCAAAACTTTGTAAATATACTAAAGAACAATAAGTTGTAGACTTTAAAGGGGGAATTTTATGGTATGTGAATTGTATCTCGATTAAAACAAAGTTTCAAGTTTGAAAGGAAAAGTATGGAACAAGATATAGCTGGCAAGTATCAACCAAAAGAAAGTTATAGTTGCCCTGTTACTGTTAAACGAAGTAACACAATAAGGCAAAGACATTACCAGTGCTAATGCATGTCACCACATTTGGGTTTTTGGGGTTTTTTCCTTTGTTATTTTTTTAATTTTAAAAAAATTTTAATTGTTGTTCAGGTACAGTTTGTCACCACATTTTGATCAAGTATATCACTTCTAAGCTCATCTGCACTTAGCAATGTCACTTGAAAATATATAAAGTGCTCTGGCCCAGTAGCTCAGTGGGTTAGAGCATCATCTGATACACCAGGATTGCAAGTTCAATTCCCTGGTGACAGCACATACAAGAATCAACCAATGAATGCATAAATAAGGGAAACAACAAATCAATATCTCCCTCTCTCTCCCTCCCTCTCTCTCTCCCTTCCTCTCTTTTTTAAAAGGTTTTGTTTATTTACTAGACAGAGGGCAAAGGATGGAGAGAGGGAAACGTCAATGTGTGGTTGTATCTCGAGCGCCCCCTACTGGGGACCTGGCCCACAGCCCAGGCATGTGCTCTGACTGGGAAACTAACTGGCGACCCTTTGGTTCGCAGGCCAGTGCTCAAGCCACTGAGCCACACCAGCCAGGGATCCCTTCCTCTCTTCAAAAACTCCATAATTTTTTAAAATCTTTAAAACAATACAAAAGCAATAGTTGAAAGAACTGAAAGGATAAACTGAGAAGAGCAATGAGGCCTCCTCTGGCATGAGGGGAGCCACTGAACTGTCCATGGGACCTGGGGAGAGGGCCTGGAGATGAGGTTTTTATATTTATCAAGAGAGGACAAATAGGTCTAGGAAATACAGAAAAACTCTTAACGTGAACATCTGACCCTGTGCCCTCTTGAGAAAGTTCACTTCCAGGCTGATCTCTAGTGACTTCTCACAGCAGGCCTCAGTCAACCAAACTGGATGGTTTGTTATTTTCCAAACATTCTACCTCAGAAGCCAGGAATGGAGAGAGCAGTGCCTGCACAAAGCTGGGGCTGGGCAGAGGACATGACTGCCACATGCCCACTGACCGGCTAGCAGGAAGGAACTTGGCTTAGAGTCGAGAGGGGCCTGGCTTGGCCCCTTCATGTCCTGAACAAGCCTGTTTCTCTCCTGAGTTCTGGGGCAATGGGGGTGGGCGACATCCTCAACTCTCTTATACCCTTGTGACCCATCTCCATCTTTCCAGTCCCACTTCAGCCACCCTGGCACAGCCTCTCTATATGTCCTGCCTTGCCCTTTACATGACCCACACACATGTACACCTGCCACCAGCCCTGCCCCACTTCTAGCCATCCCTCACACTGAACTCCAGAGGGGTTCTTTCTAGGGCCCAGATGCCATGCCCCACCTCTACCACTGTGGAATGACCTCCCCGGTTCTCATTTCACAGGGAATTTAAATAAATGAAATTGAGGCACAGAAGACTTTGAAGGTGACAAAACCACCTGCAAGGCTCAAACTCAAATCCAGGGCAGTTCCTCCAGCCTAGTGTTCTCTCTTTCATCCCTCACACTGAGTTCACTCCCTGGGAGAAGGCTGAAGAACTCCCTGATCATTTTCTCAAGTCCCTACACAGCCCTCACACGCACAGAGGCAGGCAGCATGATAGAGCACAAGGCTATGTGGCCTCGGCTCGGTTACTTGGCCTCACCATGCCTCAGCTTCCCCAGCTGTAAAGTGGGGCCAATGATAACAAGAACGGCTACTTCTCAGTCGAGATCTGAGAGACTACTGGCAAAGCTCTCCAGAACAGAGTCTGGTGCACAGTGAGTCCTCAATAAGAGCTCCCACTGAGCTGATGCTTGGGATCAGTGGCAAAGCCAATTGTAGATTTGCAGAGAGAACGGTGAGAAACAAGTCTCTTTTGCTCTACTTCCCCTTCAGGCACCTCCTGCTTGCCATGTCCAAAACCAATCCCATTGTCTCTCTACAAACCCACCCAGGTGAACCCCTCTTGCTGAACAGTGGCACAATCCACCCAGAAATGCACAGGCCACCCCACACCCCTCTCCTTCATTCTCCACCCCACTGTGGCCCCGGGCTGAGCTTTCGTAGATCCCCTACCACCCACAGGTCTGCTCGGAGACAGAGTGTGTGACCAACCCTGTGTGGTCCAGAATGAGGGAGAGAGCTTCCTCTCGGGACACCCACAAGGCTTCCCTCTCAATTCTGGTCTGGTCCCCGACACCCAAGGCCAGCCTACTGGACCCTGCTCCTGACTCATAGTACTGAGTTTTCTACCACAGCTCAGTACTTACCACAGACTGGATAAGAGCACTCCAGCGGTTGACCATTGCTCAGACTAAAGCCTGACTCTGGCCCTGCCAGGCTCTGATCCCTCCAGCCTCAGCGCTGAGAACCTGTCGTTCCCTGAGTGTGAAATGCTCTCATGGTACCCCTCCAGCTCCCTATCACACACCTCCCCCCATCTCTTGCCTTTGGCTGAACCAGTCCTTTCTCTCTCCCAGCTCTCAACTGACAACCTAGCTGGCCCAAACCTTTCTTCTTACAAACTGGCCCCTCAGATAGGAAGGGCTTGGAGGGATGAAGGAAAGGTCCTACTCTCTGCCTCACCCAGCTGGGCAGGGCAGGACCTCTCTTCCAAGTGAGGATTTTCCTGGGGCAGGATCTTGGGGGACAATAGATGCTGCCCCAGATGCTGAAGGAACAAGGATGGCTGATGAATGTGACCATGGTGCCGCCTTCTGGCCGGAGGCCAAACTGCAACCTGTGTTGGGGCAGTGGGAGCTGCTGCCCCAACTCTGCAGCAGTGATCTGGCAGCCGGCCTAGGCTGGGAGAGCTGACCCTCTATGAACGACTGCGATTCCTTCTGGAAGGCTGGCTTGGACATTGCTGCTCCTGAGCAGCCAGCATGCTGCTTTCCCCACACAGATCATTCCTATCATCCGGGTAAGCCCACCCCTGCACCATAGGGCCTCCTCCATGAGGGCAGGCACCTTGTCTGGTAGGCTCAGCACCTGGCACAGAGCAGAGGCCTGAACAATATTTGACAGACAAAACAAGAATGAGTCGGTGTCGCAGGGTCTAATGGAAACAACTGGAAAGGGGGCGGGGGGGAGCCAGCAAAGGGACACTGGTGAAGATGTCTGAGGTAGCAGGAGAGCTGACAAGGTCCCAAGTAGGGAGATAAGGAGAGGCAAAACAGGTCGTTGTAGGTGAGAAGGCCAAGTTGTTGAGATCTGGCCATGGTGCTAGCTGCCTGAGGTCCCCTGGATTGCGTAACCCCAAAGCCTGGAGTGAAGGATGACCCAGAATTGGCCATGGGGACAGACAAGAAAGCTGCCCACCCACCTCTAGACTCCCCCAGGCTCAGGGACCTGTGGGGAGGTATGCACAGGGCAGTGTGGAGCAGGGAGGTGGTGGGAAGATGCTGGGAGCAGAGGACCCCAGAGGGTCTGGTGGGCCTGGGACCCAGCAGGTGGGCATGCCCACCCTGGGCTATGCCCATCTCCAGCTCAGCAGAGGCACACTGTGCAAAGGCTGCCCTCCTCAGTGGAAAGCAGGCCCCCTGTTTCTAACCCCAAACCCTGATCCAGTCCCCACCCTGGAGACCCAGGCCAGCCAAGCTTTGCCTCACTGCCCAGTTCAGGTCCCAAAGGTCGACAAGAAGGTTCTTCTCCATCATGCTCCATGATGGGGGCTGGCAGAGGGCAGCAGAGGCAGGGGATACAGTGGGGAGGGAGGAATGGCCAGCTCGCCCAAAACTCTGAAGGCTGCTTCCTCTGCTGTGGCAAGGCTGAGAAGTGGTCCTAGGGGGTCTTCCACTGATGGGCACAGGAGAAAGGCTTAGTAGGGCCAGTAGAGGCTTGGGTGTGAGAATCTGAGTGCGAGAGGCAGGGGCCATGCAGACCAGAGGACCAGCCACCACTCTTCACACAAGAAGTCATAACCAACCCAGCCTGTTCCTCCAGGACTGGAGCCCATCGGTTCTAAGCAGCAGCACAGCACAGGATTTGAAGCCAGTGGCGCCCTCTCCTGGCCAAAGGGCTCTGACACTGTGGGGAAATGCTGTATCTGGCCTCAGCCCAGGTAAGAGGAGTGGGGAGTGGGGAGAGGTTGGAGAAGGCAAGCTGGGACTCTGGTTGCTCTCCAGGCTGCAGGCCTCCGCTCACCTGTGAGCTCTTCCCGGCCTGGCCCTGAACAGCAGGGGCACTGCAGCCTATCCCCGCAGTCCCGGAGACTTGGACCTCCTTTGGGCCTCCCACCACCCCCCTCCACTAACAGCCCAGCAGGGAGCCAGGGCTACAAGCAGGTCCACCTCTAGGGCAGCAGAGCTGACCATTTGGCTGCCTCTTGCTGGCACTTTGGATGCGGGGCGAGGACAGGAAGTTCTTGGACAAGCAGGAGTTTGTCTGCTGCGATCCAAGGAAGAAGTTTGAGTGGTGGTGGGCTAGATCAGCAGTGTGGTCCCACAGGCAGTGGCCCTGCCTCCTTGGTTCCTTTCCCATAGTGGACCCCACAGTCACCCCCCAACCCTGTCCCTTACCCCTTCCTCCAGCTCACCACTGGCCCATTGCTCTGTCTGTCTTTATTGATTTGGGGAAAAGTGGAAGGGGAGCTGGAGGGCCACAACACAAGCAGGACCACCCACAGTCAGCAAAGCGCAGAACAGCGTGCAGGAAGGACTTTCCCTGGAGCGTCTCCAGGTTTCACAGGGGTTGTGGCGGTGACAGGGGAGGGGAGCCCTGTGGACATGCTCCACCAGCCCCTAGGTGAGGGCAGAGCCTGGGGGTGCCCCACTCTCACCCCAGTGCCATGTGCCACACTGACATGTCTCAAACTCTCCAGCAGAGGCCAGCCCCGGGGTACAGGGGATGGGGAAGAGGAGTGAACGAGTCCGTGGGAAGAGAATCTGGGGGTCAGTACACTCAGCTTCAGCATCTGCCAGGGGTGGAGGGAGAGAGAGAAGTTCACAAGGAAGGGGAATGGTCCGGAGGCATCCCTGGCCTATCCCATGCCCGTGCTCCCAGTCAAGGCTCTCAGCAGCAGTGCCCACTTGGTCTTCACACTGGGCGCTCTCAGATCTTCACGGTCTTGTAGTTGTCAGCCCCTGCCGGCCCCTCTCTCGTCCACTCCTCCCAGAACCCTAGATCCTGCCTTCCAAACTGTGCTCTCCGCCTTCAGCCCTCTGCTCTCTGAGGTCCACTCCACTTAACTCTTGGCCACATGGGGCTCAACACCCTCTAAGTTCACCAAGGAACCACCACCCAGGGAGTACAGGGCCCACTCCCACACACCTGGGCATCACCAGTTGGGGGACTGGCCAGCCCGGAGGCCTGGGTGGCTGTGGTGGGCCATCTTCTGCTCTGAGGCCTCCTCACCCTCTGGGCTGTGCCCCAGCTTTCGGATGTGGCGCAGGAAAGAGGTGGCATTGAATGCTCGCTGCAGGGAGAGGGGGGATATCAGGCCATGCCCTTGCCCTGGCCCCAAGACTTCAAGGACCACAGAGGTCACTGGCAGCCCAAGCCATCCCCCTGAGGCTGAGAGATGGGACAGACAGGGAAGGCAGGTGGTCTCCAGCCAAAAAAATGTCCACGGGCCCCATCCAATACTGACCTTCCAGTGGGTTCGGGCAAAATTCTTCTGGATCTGTTCACTGACTGAGCCCAGGATATCCTTGTCAAAGGCAGCATCCCCAGAGATCCTAGGGGGAGGCCAAGGGTCAGTGGGGCAGCAGAAGGTCTCTGAGGGTGTGGTCCTTCACTCTGATGCTGAGACAGCTTGGCAGGGGTTCCACTCACCAAAGATGCTGTAAGGCCTGCTGGCAGGTGAACCTCTTCTGGGGGTCTCGCTCCAGAAGGTGCCGGATGAAGTCTTTGGCTGGAGCAGGGAGGCCAGGTCAGCCCAACCCATCGCACTCCACATATCACTCCCCCCTCCCTTCCCTGAGCTTGGGGTCAGCCTCAAGTTCACCTGATTCTGAGATGTCATCCCAAAAGGGAGAGTCAAACTCGTAGCTGGCCCTCAGGATCTGGCTGAAGAGTTCGGGGTCGCTCTCGTCGTAGAAGGGGGGGTACCCACACAGCCTGGCACCCACAGATGAATCACCCAGCTGTCCAACCCTCCCCAACCCAGCAGGGAGCAGGCAGGCAGAAGAAGAGCCTTTCGCAGTGGTCACTCACAGAATGTAGGAGATGACACCCAGGGCCCACACATCTACGGCCTTTCCATAGGGTTTCTGCTCCAAGAGCTCCGGGGCTGGGGGCCAGAGACAGACAGACAGACACACACCACGCACGTGCACACCAGCCTTCAGTACTTCCTGGCTCAGCCTAGACAACCCCAGGAACAGCCCACCACCTACCCTGCCCCTGGCGTCATAGCTCCCGCAGGGTCCCCCAGCCCTCTAGCCCCCAAGGAACCTCAGGGCACCCCCTCACTTACCCACATATCCTGGGGTCCCACAGGCAGTGCCCAGCATGTTGCCAGCCTGGATTTTGGAGAGGCCGAAGTCAGAGACCATGATCTTAGAGTCTTCGAATGGTGTGGCATAGAGGAGGTTTTCAGGCTGTGGCACACAGGTGACCAGAGGAAGTGCCAAGTCAGCCCTGGCATGGCCCCTGGGGGCTGGGACAAGGGGCTGAGACTCCTCAAATCTCCCAGACCCTTGGTGCACAGGGAGGCTGGGTCCGGCCTGGGGAGGTGGGTAAGAGGACAGGCACCTTGAGGTCACGGTGCACGATGCCCAAGCTGTGCAGGTAGGAGACAGCGCCAAGAACCTGGCCCACCAAGTGGCTGGCATCCTTCTCTGTGTAGGAGCCACGCTCCATGATGCGGTCGAACAGCTCACCCCCTGTCACCCTGTGAGGAGAGGGGGCTCAGTTGACCCAGGCCCCTTGGCCTCCACTCACCACCCAGCTCCCAGCCTGTCCCTGGCCTCCTCACAGCTCCATGGCCAAGTAGAGGTGGGAGGGGCTCTCGTGGACGTCCTCCAGAGCCACGATGTTGGGGTGGCTGACCCTGGAACAGCAAGAAAAAGCCCTTGTAGGCCATGCAGCCCCTTCTAGGCCTCAGGGCCTAAGAGCACTTTCTTCCACTTCTGCCCCCTTCCCTACTGCAGGCCACCCCTGCCCAGTCCAGCAAGGCAGAACCCCATTCCAGGCCTTCCAAGGGACACAGACGAAGCAGGGCACTCCAATACAGGACACACTGCCCACAAGCCTTAAGCAATAGCAGCCTGGCCAGGCGTCAGGCACGTACCTGCGGAGCACCGCAATCTCATTCTCCACCAGGGCCTCCTTGCCTTGAAGGGCCTTCTTGGAGATGCACTTGAGAGCAACAAGGTGTGAGGAGCCCCGCTCCTGGGCCAACACCACCTCAGAGAAGGCACCCCTGCCGTAGAGACAGCGGAGGCAGGAAGGGAGGGGAAAAGTTGAAGAGGAGGAAGAGAGGAGAGGGAGGGGAGAGAGAGCAGAGGTGGGGAGAGGGAAGGGTCCCCCTAGCTGAAGCAGAAGAGGAGGCCCTCTCCATCCCGTGCCACCCATCCCCCCACACACTTACACATTCACTGACACACATCACATTCACTGACACACACTCACGAGCCCAGCTTCTCCCGGATCTCATAGACACTGCTAATGTCCTCCGTCTGTTTCTTGAGCAGCAGCATGTCTGGGGGGCAAAGGAGAGATGGAGGGAAGTGCTCTGGGTGAGGGGCAGCCCCATCCCCCACCCCAGTCTCAGCAGTGCTTCAGCCTCCCTCCGAGGCAACCCCCCACTCAGGAACACATGTCTCATAAGGTCCCAGAACCCTCCCCTAGCCCAGGTACCTCTCGCCCCTCCCCCACCGCCCAGGTCAGCACTCTCAGGTGGGACGCCTCCCTGGTAGGCCACCAAATACACTCCTTCCATCCCCTCCCCAGATACACCTCCGCGATCCGGAAACCCCCACCCTGATGGCGACCAACGGTCAGCGCCCAGACACCTGCTCTCTGCTGCCACACAACCTGCAGCGCAATCAGCGGTCTTCCAGAAGGCTCCATGCACCCCCACTCTGGCCCCTCCGAGCCCACCCCCACCCACAGCGCCCAAAGGGCCCTCCCTTTCCCCCAGGCCTAGACTTGCCACTCATTGCCCAGCGCCCACAGGCACAGGCCACCAATCCGCCTGAGATGCACCTGGCGAGCCCAGTGCACAGCCGCCTGCCACTGCCGCGGCCACCCACGCGGCCGCCCAGGCACACTGGGCCCTCAGAACCGCGGGCGGGAGAAACTCCGCAGCTTGTGCCTCCAGCGTCCAGAGCTGCGTGGGCAGCGCGCGTGCTGGCCAGGGGCGCTCCGGGCATGACAGGTGTGCGCACGGACACAGGGGGACTACGGTGGCCACAGACAGGGACCCTGAACGCCCCTGCCAGGGTGGGTGAGCCTCTAGGAGTGCTCAGTACGGACCTGAATTGGAAGCTGCAGTGTCAACTCACGCAGTGACAGCCGCGCAGAACCCACAGCCGGCGCCCTGTCGGCCCCGCCCCCTCCGCGTGCGTTCCTGCCGAATGCTGGGGGCCGAGCTGGTGGTGGCTGAGTGTGGCCACTACGCTGCAGGGCGCCTTGTAAGGCAATCTGCCGGCAGAAGCTGCCACCTCCCTCCTTGGTTATTCATTCAGGTTCCCACTGGCTTCAGCCCCCTGGCGGCCAGGTTGGACCGGCCCCAGGGCCTTTGCACCACTGGTGTCCTCCATCCCCAAGTCTCTTTGCCTGCATGTTAACATGGCTGTGAGCCTTCTTCGGGTCTCTGCTGCATCCAGGTAGTTTGATCTGAAACAGTCTCCTTCCCTAGCCCAGCCCAGCCCTGCCACTGCCACATCTGCCCCCCTGGCCTGAGCCCCAACAGCAGTGAGTTGGATGACAGCCAAGGCCTCCTCACTGGACTTTCTCTGCCCTCTGAACCCAGCCTTAATCTCTCTTCCCTACTCAGAAGCCTGAACATCCCCTTTATTGAGATCATGTCATCCCTGGGCTATAACCAGCCCCCCCCCATGGCTTTTCATGTTACTCCAAGTCAAAGCGTGAGTCTTCACAGTGGCTGAAAGACTCTGTATGGTTGGCCCCCCTTTCCCATCACTACTCTGGCCTCTCTCTACCTACTGCCCCCTTGCTGAAGCACCTCCAGCCAACTCCAGCCACAATGGCTTCCTAACTGGCCTTCAAACACACCATGCATGGGGTATGTACCATACATGGCTCTCAAACATACAAACATGCACCTGCTCCAGGGCCTTTGCACTTTCTGCCTCTCTGCCTGGAATGCTGTTCACTCAGATATATGCTTGATTTGCTCCCTCACTCCATCAGGTTTCCATTCCAATGTTACCTCTTCAAACACACCTCCCCTGCTCCCTCCCCTGGCCCTATCTTCAGAACATCCATCACTGCAAAATCACTTTCTGTGTCTTCCTCACCAGAATGTGCACTCCTCAAAAGTGTCTCTGCTGATCTGGGGTAGTACTCAGAAAATAAGCCCTGGATGACCAAATTCAACCCTCCAACAATTAGTAGATTCCTTTTACTCAGTCCCATCAATTTGGGTGCCCCCTCCCAGGGGTCCAGGCCTCACCGGGGATGGAGGGGTGGGTTTCCTGGCTGTTGACAAGAGCATGTGCACACAGGACAGATCTGCAGGGGCTCCATGGAGTCACAGGGTCCCCTAGTGACCTGCTAAATCTGTCTTCACAGGGGTCTACAGGCCCCTGGCATGACACAAAGTCTTTAAGAGGGTCCACAGAGCAGGCAGAGATTTTTAAAAATCGTCTTTCCAGATCTCACCCCCTACATGTACTCTGTCCAAAAATCAGTAAGTTTGAGAAGCCCCCCCCCCAGCCCTCCCCCCTCCCTTTCCCAATTGCCCCTCCTAGTTCGCTCAAGTGGGCTCCGGAGCCCCCAGCCCTCAGCAGCATGGGCCTCACTCCCAACTACTCATCTCTGTACACAGGGTTTCCTTGAGCTTACACCTAAAACAGAAGAGAGGAATGGGACTGACGGTGAGTCCATGTCATGCTGGCAGTAAGTCTTATTTGACACAGATTGGAGCCAATCTTCCTTGTTTATTTGGTGATTATGCCAGAAGAAACATGATCAGAGCCCCGTGGTCACAGGTTATAACAAGAAATATAACTTATACACATTTGTGTTTTGGAGAAGTACGGTGGAGGAATAGCAAAAAACTGCCAACATGGAGAAAGATGGCACATGGAGACCTCTTTGAGAGGCAGCAAATGAAAAGTGGAGGCAGGAATGAAAGGGCCCACTTCCAATGGGAGCCTGAGAAAGAAGAGCCAGTGTGCAGAATTTGAGATGGACACAGGTATCAGTTCACCAGGTGATTTTGATGTCATTGGCCTTGTGTAAAAAGTGATATCATGCCCTTACTGGTGTGGCTCAGTTGGCTGGGCATCGTCCCGCAAAGCGAAAGGTCGATGGTTCTATTCCCGGTTGGGGCACGTGCCTGGGTTGTGGATTCGGTCAGTCAGGCACGTGAAAGGCAACTGATTGACGTTTCTCTCTCAGATCAATGTTTCTCACCCTGTCTTTGTCCCTCCCTTCCCCATTCTCTAAAAATAAATAAATAAAATATTTTCTGTTTAAAAGTTATATCACAATTTTTATCTCAACTCAGTCTTTACAACACACCAGGAATTATACCCTTCACAGTTATTTAAAAAGCTGTTGAAATATTGTCAATGTGAACTTCAAAATGCATGTGTGTTGGGTGGTGGTAGATAAAGAAGTTTTGAAAATCCTTTCAGGGACCTCTTACTGAAAAATTAACTCGAAGCACCTCATAGACCTAAATGTAAAATGTCAAGCCTCTAAAAGAAAACACAGGAGAAATTCTGTCTTACCTTGGCTTGAGGATGAATTTTTAAATACAATGTGAAAAGCATGGTTCTTAAAGGAAAACAACGATCAATTGGACTGTATCTAAAGTTTCTATGCCTGCTCTGGAAACAGCACTGGTGCGAGAAAGAGAAGACAAGCCACAGGCTGGGGGAAAATCTTTGCAAAACACATATCTAATAAAGGACTGGTGCTCTTAAAAGCCAACTAGAAGAGAATGAGCAACTCCATTAAAAATGGGCAGCCTGGCTGGCATGACTCAACTGGTTGAAGCGTTGTCCCTTAACCAAAGGGTCAAGGTTTGATTACAGGTCAGCGTGCATGCCCAAGTTGGGGGTTTAATTCCCGTTGGTGTGCATGAAGGAGGCAGTTGATTGATGTTTCTCTCCCATCGATGTTTGTCTCTCTCCTTTCCTCACTCTCTTATGTAAGAATAAAATAACCTTTAAAAAGTGGGCAAAAGATGTGAACAGACGTGTCACCAAAGAAAAAATACAAGGGCAAATAAGCATATGAAAAGATGCTCCATGTCATTTGTCATTAGGGAATAGCAAATTAAAACAAGATACCACTACAGCCCTAGCTGGTGTGGCTCAGTGGACTGAGTGCTGGCCTATGAATCGAAAGGTCACTGGTTTGATTCTCATACAGGGCACATGCCTGGGTTGCAGGCCAGGTCCCTAGTTGGCAGTGGGTGAAAGGCAACTGATTGATATACCTCTTGCACATTGATGTTTCTCTCCCTCTTTCTCCCTCCCTCCCTCCCTTCTCTCTAAAATAAATAAATAAAAATCACACACACAAAAAAACAAGATACCACTACATATCTATGAGAATGTCCAAAATCCCAACACTGATAACATCAAATGCTAGCAAGGATGTGGAGAACAAGAACCCTTATTTCTTTTGTTTTATTTTATTTTTAATCGTCACCTGACGATATGTTCATTGATTTGAGAGAGAAAGAGAGGGATGTGAGAAACATTGATCAGTTGCCTCCCATACATGCCACGATCCAGGGCCAAAGCCACAACCATTCTAGTGTATGGGATGATGCTCCAACCAAGCAACCAGGCCAGGGTGGAACCTTCACTTATTGCTGGTGGGAATGCAAAATAATGGGAATACAGTCACTTTAGAAGACAGTTTGGTGCTTTCTTACAAAACTAAACATATATGATTTAACTATTGTGCTCCTTGGTATTTACCCAAAGGATTTGAAAACTTACATCCACACAAAAACCTGTACCTGGACATTTACCACAGCTTTATTCATAATCAGCAAAAAGTGGCAGCAACTGAGATGTCTGTCCTTCTGTAGGTCAATGGATAAATACACTGTGGAACATCCAGACAATAATGTATTATTCAATTATAAAGAGAAAAGAGCTTTGAAGCCATGAAAAGACATTAATTAATATTAAATATATATTGCTAAATGAAAGAAGCCAGTCTGAAAAAGGTTACATACTGTATGAGGTCTGTCCAGAAGGTATCCAGCCAGGTACTATGAAAAAGAGAGGCATTTATTGAAGAAGATACAAAATACAAGAAACATTATACACAGAAAAATGATGCTTAGTCCCCTTCAAAGTAGGCACCTTGGGACCTCACACAGTTCTCCCAATCGCCATCACCTGCCCCATTGTTTTTCTGAATCTCATCGATGGTCTAAAATCTATTCCCTTTCAAAGATAATTTCAGTTTTAGAAAAGCCAGAAGTCACGGGGTGCCAAATCAGGGCTATAGGGGGACTGAGTCACCCGGGTGATTTGATGTTTTGCCAAAAAAACTGTGCATGAGATGTGATGTATGAGCAGGCACATTGTCCTAATGAATCTGCAAATCACCAGTTGCCCATAGCTGCAGCCTTCTAAATCATCCAAATAGTTTCCATGGAGGAATGTTCAAGCTTCATGCAAAACCTGATGCAGATTCACTGCCTGACTTGCTCAATCATTTTGAATGCAACACCACACAGTACACATGCTCACTCAATGGCGTCTACTGCTCCCACTGAAGAGTGAAGTCATCACTGTTCACACATGCGCATTCCTGTCCACTCTCCTTGGCTGCCAGGTTACATCAATGTTGTGCAGTAACAGATTGATGGTTGCCAGGGTTTTGAGGAGGGAAATAGTGTTTGACTAAGGGAAGCCCAAGGGTGATTAGGGCAATGAAACTACTCTGTATGATGTTGTAATGGTGGATACGTGACTCTCTGTATATGTCAAAACCCAGAGAACTGTACAGCAGAAAGAGTGAATATGCAAAATTAAAAATAACACTTCAGGAAGTTGGAGGATCCTAACAAGAACTGTGGACTATGATCTAAGAGTCTAGTGTACTACAAATGTACAAAAGTGAAGATGGCAGCACAGGTAAACAGTTTGTATTCTTGCACAACCACATCAAAATTACAACTAAACTATTGAACAACCATCACTCAGAACCATCAAAAATCAAGCTGAATGGATATTTGACAACTACAGAATTAAAGAAACCACATCTATCCAGACTGGTAGGAAGGGCAGACACATGGAATGGACTAGTCTTACATCCACGAGGGGCAGATAAAAATTCATGATGGATAAAAATTTAGGAGGATTATCTTGAGAGCAAGGCATCCCAGACCCATACCAGGCCCCTCAACCCAGGGTTCCAGTGCCAGAAAGATAAGTCCCCATAACTTCTAGCTGCAAAAATCAGCAGGGACTAAGTGAGAAGAAAATTCTGGAGTCCCAAGCAGTTCCTGTTAAAGATCCCACACATGGACTTACTCAGACTCACTCCCTCTGAGCTCTGGCATCGGGGTAGTAGAGCTTTAAAGACAAGCAAACTGAAAGGTAGCAGTGGTATACAGGGAGGAACTGAAGTGTCTGGCATCGAGGCAAGAGCTGGGGGACAGTTTTCTCCCAGGCAGAAAGGTGGGCAGAGGCCATTGTCCCTTTTCTGAACCCTCCCCTAATAGAGCCACAGAGCAGGCAAGTGGGTGCCATATCTGACTCAATCAACCTAGCTAAATAACACTGCTCGGCCCAGAAATCCCCTGAGGATCTTCCCTCCCAACTGACAGGCCCACCCAAGCTGTTAACAGTGGCTTTTCTATATGAATGACTGGTCTTGGCTCATGCTTCACAACTTCCTAAATCCTCTCAGACAAACAACAACTAGCCTCAGTGAGTCCCCATTCCCCGTACCTCTTACTAAGTGGCCCCAGGCCTGGCATTATCAGCAGCCAGCCTAGATTCACAGCTTGGCTTCATCTGGGAATCTCCAAGCCCAAGACAAGTAACAGCCATCTCAGACTGCTTTATAACTCAGGCAGGGTGGCTCCAGGTGAAACACAGGTGGGGGCTGACCTTGGCCTGCACCACCTGGGAAACCCCAGGGCCAGGGCACCCAGTGGACAGCTACAGACCACGTCAGAGCACCATTACCCTGCCCCTGCACAGCTGATCTTCCATGGAGGGCAGAGTTTGGTGGTCAGTGGTCACAAACAATCCTTGCAGCTGACTGGCCTGGGTAAGTCCCTCCCACTGACCTGCCAACAGCAATCAAGGCTCCACTACAAGAGAAGGGTGTACTCAGCCCACACAATGGGTGCACCTCGAGTACCCAGCCTGGGTGACAGAAGAGGCTGTGTGCTACAGGACACCTACCGCATCAGGCCATGCGACCAAGATAGGGAGTCAGAGCAGCTCTACTTAATACATAGAAAAAAACACAGGGAGGCTGCCAAAATGAGGAGACAAAGAAACATGGCCCAAATGAAAGAACAGATCAAAACTACAGAAAAAGAGCTAAATGAAATGAAGATAAGCAATCTATCAGATGCAGAGTTCAAAACACTGGTTATAAGGATGCTCAAGGAACTTAGTGAGGACCTCAACAGCATAAAGAAGATCCAGTCAGAAACGAAGGGTACACTAACTGAAAGAAAGAACAATTTACAGGGAAACAACAGTAGAGTGGATGAAGCTGATAATCAAATCAATGATTTGGAACATATGGAAGGAAAAAACAAGCAATCAGAACAAGAAGAAAAAAGAAGCCAAAAAGTGAGGACAGTGTAAGCAACCTCTGGGACAACATCAAGAGTTCCAACATTTGCATCATAGGAGTCCCAGAAGGAGAAGAGAAAGAGCAAGAAACTGGAAATCTATTTGAAAAAACAATGAAGGAAAACTTCCCTAACTTGGTGAAGGAAATAGACATGCAAGTCCAGGAAACACAGAGAATCCCAAACAAGATGGATGCAAAGAGGCCCACTCCAAGACTCATCATAATTAAAATGCCAAAGGTTAAGATAAAGAGAGAGTCTTAAAAGCAGGAAGAGAAAAGAAGTTAGTTACCTACAGGGGAGTTCCCATAAGACTGTCAGCTGATTTCTCCAAAGAAGCCTTACAGGCAAGAAGGGATTGGCATAAAGAGCAGGGTCTTACAGCCAAGATTGCTCTACCCAGTAAGAAATAATTTAGAAATGAAGGGCAGATAAAGTGCTTCCCAGACAAGAAGAAACTAAAGGAGCTCATCATCACCAAACCATTATATTTTTAAAATTTTATTTATTTATTTTTAGAGAGAGGGGAATGGAAGGAGAAAGACAGGGAGAGAAACATCAATGTGGAAGAGATACATTGATCAGTTGCCCCTCACATGCTCCCAACTGGGAACCTGGCCCACAACCCAGACATGTGCCCTGACTGGGAATTGAACTGGCGACCTTTCAGCTCACAGGCCAGTACTCATTCCACTGAGCCACCCCAGCCAGGGCCCAAACCATTATCATATGAAATGTTAAAGGGACTTATTTAATAAAAAGGAGATCAAAACTATGAATAATAAAATGGCAATAAACATATCTATCAACAACTGAATCTAAAAAAGCAAACTAAGCAAACAAGCAGAACAGAGACAGAATCATGGATATTGAGAGCGTTTTGATGATGGCCAGATGGGGGGTGGCAGTGAGGGAATAGGTAAAGAGGTGAGGGGATTAAGAAATACAAACAGTAGTTACAGAATAGCCATGGGAACAAAGCACAGTAAGGAAATGGAGTAGCCAAAAAACCCATACACAAGACCCATGGACATGAACAATGGTGAGGGGACTGCCTTAGGGAATGGGGGTTGCTGGGTGGAGGGGGGCAAAGGAGGAAAAATCAGCACAACTGTAATAGTATAATCAATAAAATGTGATTAAAAAGAAAAAATAATAAAACTATTCAGAAATTAAAAATGTGTTTAAAACAAAAACAAATTTACAAATCTTTTTAGGGGTCTATGTGGATAAGCACAGCTGGTGAACAAGGAGTGCTGTGCAGGGGTGGGGGACAGGTCATCCCCTCTTACACCCCAGCCTCGGTAGGTGGCCTAGCGCCATCTTCGTCTCCCCAGCTATTGAAAACACAAACTCCTTCAAGGTGGACTCCAGCCTTCCCTCTGTTCCCAGCACATTCTACTTGCACCGCTTCTTGTACTCGCAGCCTGAGCAGAGGAGTGCCTCCCTCACCCCACCAGCCCGCCCTCTAGCTGTCCTGGGGCAATGGGTTAACTCCTACTCCACCTCCACCCCACTGGCCTCTGAAAGGTTGGCCACCATGGCTGCTGCCTGGAGAACACTTTGCTTCTCACTCAAGAGTGAGAAGCTTCTCACTCAGTACACACCCCACACTTAAGAACAGTGGGTTACGCTCTCCCTTTGGAGTTGGGCAAGTACCTACAAGTATCTCACCTGCTCCTGCACGTGCTCCAGAACCAGCCTCACAGACAGAGCCATGAATATAAAGACCTGGCAAGACAGGCAGAGGCTTAGTGCAGGCTGGCAGGGACAGCCTCCCAGCCCTTAGCTAGGGTCCTGGGGCGTCTACCCCACTCCTCCTCAGCAACTGGTGCTGGGGTGGGGGGTTGGCAAGATACACCTTCCCAAAGCCCTGAGAACACCTGAGGACCCAAGGGCTGAAAATCCCTCTGCCTTTGTTTTGCTCTGATGCCCAGCACCCCACGGGAACTACCCCAGGAACACTGTAGCTTGGCCGTTCCCACGGGCTGTGCGGGTCAGCACACCAGAAGCCAGTTTATGGCCCCCAGCTCCCACTTTGGGAAACTCTGGCCTAATCATCTGACCTGAGAGGATGGGTTCTTGAACTTCGAGTACCACACAAGCCCAGCTGCCCTGGCTGGGCACCAGTGGAGGCTTGGGTCAGAGGATCCCCCTCACCTTCCTCTCTCGCCTTCTGGAACAGGTGGCAGCTGAGCTGAGTCTTACAGGATCAGAGGGAGGTCAACAAAGAAGAGACACCCCAGGCAGTGGGCTCTTGCAAGGGCCGAGGGCAAAGGGCAGGGAAGGCAGCTTAGGGGGTGGCTGCTCTTCAGTGCTGGGGAGCCCGAGGGTCAGCTGGTGCCCCATCTTGTAGCCGTGAAGAAGAATTGAACTTGATTTCCAATGTGAAGAAAAGTCCTAGAAAGAGTAGATGAGGAGGGACTGGTCAGACCTGTGCTGCTAGGAAAACTATGCAGTACATGGGCCTCGAGGAGGCCCCTGCAAGGTCCAAGAAAGCCAGGGGCATGGTGTCATTGCCTGCTTGAGGAAGACTGAGGGAGCAGCAGGGAGGGAAGGTCTGGCAGTCTGTGCACCCCACCCTCAGATGAGGAGACTCCTGCTCCAGAATCTGGAGATACCCTTTGAAGGCAGCAGCCCCTGAAGCAGTGGGAGCCTCGTCCACAGGAGTCCCAGAGCTCACACAAGACATTGTCAGCAGCCACTGCCACCAAGCCACTTCCCTCCTGGCCTCTGACCCCACAGAGTGGCAGCTCCCTCCCATTCCTGCCACTAGCCTTGCAGCCTGCCTCCGCTCCCAAGTAGAATGGAGGAGGCCCCCCATTTTTGGCTTCCTTGGCCCTTCTCAGGTTCCCTCCACCTTGCTCTTCTTTTACCTAGAGAACTCCTGGAAGCTGTGGCCACTTCCCCAAAGGGCCATCAGCTGGCCCATGTCCTTCTCCAGGCACTGCTCTCTCTCCCCACCACGCTTTTTGGACAAGCGTGATCTTCAATTTTTGAGTCACCTGCACCCAGACACATCCTCACTTCCCCCTGCTTCTCCCTGTGCTGTCTGGCCTCTGCCCTGGCGTTTCCATCGAAGCAGCCCTCCCTCAGGGGGCCAGTTTCTCCAGGTTATCTATGGATAATGTACTTCTTTACCAACCTCTTTGTCTCCAGACGAGCTTCGGTCCTAGGCTGAAGAAGATTCATGTTAGGGTCTTCTGATCAAGCAGTGTGACCCTGCCAACTCAAGGGTATCCAAGCCCCCCTCAATCCAACCCCTCCTCCAGCCAGCCTGGGTGGGGATGTTGCCCCTCCCTCACCTAGCAGGCTTAATCTGGCTCCAGCCAGAACTGCTTTTCTTCTTAAAGCCAGAGGTTGGCTGAGGGTTTAGCTTAACAGGATGAACCATCTGGGGACTGCAGTTTGGCAATCAGGGAACCTGGGACTTGGGGAGGGGGCACACTTCACATACCCGGCCATAACAATGATCCCTTCCTTCCACACCCCATGGCTGCTCTTGGCCCTGGAAAATTCCAAACAGGCTGCTCCGCTGCCAGTGCAGAGGCAGCTGAACAACCTTGCTCTTGCTGAGGAGGCCTGGAGGTCCCTGGGGAAAGGAGTGCCAAGAATGGGGAGCTGGGACCTCCCAGCTGAGGCCTTTGAGTAAGGGTCTGTGTACCCACTAGGCCCCAGGGGGTGGCCTTAGTGGATTCCTGCCTGAGGCTCCAGCAGCTCTGACAGGGTTGGGGAGCAGCAGGGGTCCCTACCACCCCCTACCTTGGTGACAAAATGTAGCCTAGTACTTCAACCAGGCACGCTCCATTCTGCCCCCTTAAAATACTCACAGAGACCTGTCACCCCAAACAATGGGACCCTGACCTCCAGCTTCTAGGGCTGCTCCCCTGGGGAAGGGGTGAATTCCAGGAGAAGGCAGCATGGTGCCTGTGGCAAAACCCTGCAGCACACCTAGAGGTAGACATGCCCACCCCCCAGCCTTTCCCTTGTTGCCAGCTGAGCCCAGCGCTTCAGGAGACCAGGCACCGTGCACCCCTTCTAGTGCTCAACACTGCCCCAGCCCCAGATGGGAGTCAGACAGGGGCCACAGATGGGACAGGCTGGAAGGAGGGGGAGAAAAAAAAAGGGCTAAGGATGGCTGGAAGGCTGCCAGAGAGGCGGCTCTCCTACAGCCGGGAAGGGCAGGTTAGGATAGGCAATCTGGGCAGGGGTAGGCCCAGGTGAACCTGGGGTCAGGGGCGATTTAGCCTCTGGGGAGGAGGTGCTGATGAGTTCCCTAGGTAGCAGCCATCCTGCTTCCCGCTGGAGCGGCGTCTCCTCCTCGGGAGGAGGGCGAGAGGAGGTGGGCGGAGTGACGGGGAGAACCGGAGGGAGGGACGCAGGAGGGGGAAGGAGAGGAGCTCGGGCGTGGGGGTGGGGCGACAGTGACGTCACCCCGGAGTCGGTTCTTAAGCGGCAGCCGGTCAAGCGGAGGAGAAGAGGGACGGTCTTAGCGCGGTGGCAAGTCGGTGAGCCCGCCGCGGCCCGGAGAGCGGCTGGAGCCGCCGCCGCCGGGAAAAGGGGGTGAGCGCGCCCGGGCCGCCACTGCCGCCTGAGCCGGAGGCGCCTGAGCCGGAGCCGCAGGAGAGCTAGGCAGTCGTGCGGGCCCGGGCCGGGGCGGGGGGCGCGGGGCGCGGGCCGCAAGCCCATGCTCCGGCCGGCGCTTACAGACAGTGGGCTCCCGATGCCGCCCGCGTCCCGCTAGGCTGAGCGTCGGGCCGGCGAGCCGCCGCCGCCGCCCGTATCGCGGGTAGGAGCCTCCGGAGCCGCAGCCGCCGCCGCCCGGCCGGGCCCCGCCGCCGCCGCCCGCGCGCCCCCGGGCCCCCGACACACATGAGATTCTTCAGGCTCACTTTCAAGTGCTTCGTGGACTGCTTCTGACCGCGCCGCCTGTCCGCCCCGCACCCCGCCCGCCGCCCGCCCGCCCGCCGCCCCGACTCCGGCCCGGCCGCCCCCGGCCGGCCCGCGCCTTCGGGGTCCCCAAACAGCCGGCGCCCCTCGCCGCCCGTCCCCCGGCCCGGCTGCGCCGCCCTCTGGGACTATGGCGAAGAAGAGCGCCGAGAACGGCATCTACAGCGTGTCTGGAGACGACAAGAAGGGTCCGCTGATTGAGCCCGTGCCCGACGGGGCCCCGGCCAAGGGCGATGGCCCCGCGGGCCTGGGGGTGCCTGGCGGCCGCCTAGCCGTACCTCCGCGTGAGACCTGGACGCGCCAGATGGACTTCATCATGTCGTGCGTGGGCTTCGCCGTGGGCTTGGGCAACGTGTGGCGCTTCCCCTACCTGTGCTACAAGAACGGCGGAGGTGAGCGCCCCCGCTCCTTCGCACCATGGACCCTCCCCCCGCCCGCTGCCCGCCCCATCGGGGTGCACGGGCGAAGTCCAGGGAGTGGGGAGGGCCTCCAGGACAGTCAGGGGCCAGAGGCTGCCCCTCGCCGGCCGTTGCCACTCGGTGGCCCAGCCTGGCAGCGTCCACCCAAGGCCAGTCATGTGCCTGGCAGTGTGTGGGGGGAGGGGGCGAGCGAGTCTCCGGCCCTAGCCGCGGGGCTGCCCCCTCATACTCCCTGCGCTCGGGGATTGGCCACTGAGGTGGGAAGGCGAGGCCTGCCCCCTGGGCGGGGGCTCCCAGAGGTGAGGAGCCCTGGCTGCCTCAGCTGGTCAGGCACACAAGTGGCACATTGTGTGGGCCCCCCACGTGTGCACACACGAACACACACACACACACAATGGGCCACTCTGTCCCTCCCACTCCCTTCCCCTCTTTCCTTCCCCTCTCTTCTCTTCCCCTCTCCCCCCTGCCCTCCCCTCCTCACCCTCCCCTCTAGCCTGGGCCTGGAACACTGGGTGCCTGAGCCAGGCTTGGGAAGCCTGCGGCCTGGGCTGCCTGGCGCCGCTGCTGGACACACTGCACGCACATCCCATGCCCGCTTGCCGGCCCCGGCCCAGCTTAGCAACAGTGATGGACGGGCATGTCCTGCGTGCAACTGCAAAGCAGCGCCGGGGTTGGTGGGAAGCCATGGTGACTGGGTGATAGGTGGGAAACTGAGGCCCAGAGTGAAGGCCTTTGCCCAAGGTCACACACAACAAGGATGCTGGGACCAAGAGCGACGCAAGCCGCAGTGAAGCCCATCTTCTCAGTAGTGGAGAGGGCTGGGCCAGGGGCAAGAGTAGCAGGCCTGTGAAGGAGGGGGGAGTGCACAGGAGCTACTGGGGCCCAGCTCCCCCGACTCCTGGCCTGTGGTCTCTGACCCTGCCCTGCATACTGCCTCCAGAGCTGGGTGGCCTCCACCAGGATGTCTCTCTGTCCTTGCTCACTGACATTTTAAGACACCCACACACACACCCGCTGTCAGAAGACTGCCACCCACCCACCCTCTTCCCTGGACCTTCCCACTCATAGGCCAGTGTGTGGGTACAGAGAAGGCAGGTCTCCCTGCCTCCACCCAAGCTGGGCAGGCCCTCAGGCCTAAGCGCCAGCCATGGCACACGCATGCACATGCACGCACACACCCTCGCTGCCTTTCCTTCCTGTACTGCCTGGCAGGCAGGGACTGTGACACGAGAGATGGCTTGTATGTGCAAGCATGTGTGTCTTCCATGCCCGTTAGGTCACCCTAGGTGACTGGAGGCAGAAGCCTATGGACATAGGGCACCTCCTCCCTAGCTCAGGGAGCTGGACCACAGCACCCCCAATACTCCAACCCCCCACTGACGCCGTTCAGCTGGGGCCTCTGAGTCAGTGACCACCTCCTGCACTGATTCACCCAGTGGGAACTTATGATGGGGTTGGGGTGGAGTCCAGAGCTGGGGCTACACCCTGGCCTCCCAGGGCCTCTTGAAAGCTGTGCTGGCTACAAGCCTGCACAGCCTGGTTGTGGAATTTGGGTTAAGTCCCTGGCATGTGTGTCCTCCCTCAGGTGTGTTCCTTATTCCCTACATCCTGATCGCCCTGATCGGAGGAATCCCCATTTTCTTCTTGGAGATCTCACTGGGCCAGTTCATGAAGGCCGGCAGCATCAATGTCTGGAACATCTGCCCCCTGTTCAAAGGTGAGCAGCCCCAGGCCAGCCCCTCCCTGCCCTCTCCCTCAGGGACCCTTTCCCTTTACCACTGCTGGGGCAAGACTGGCACCTACCTGAGAAATTTCATCATGTCCAAACACCAGGCCTGGGGTCCACCAATGGCCCCCAAGTTATAAGGGGGAAGCTGGAGACCATGCAGACCACCCAGTGACCTTGGGCAGGCTGGGGCTAGCATGGGGGATCCAGCCTCTCCACCAGGGTGATCAGGTCCAGTAAGGCTGGAAACAGACTCTGCTAAGCCCACTTGGCTCAGCAGAGTGAAGGGTGGCTGCATACAAAAGACAGTGGTGAGAGAAGCTGTCTGTGGCCAGCTCTCCCAAGGCCAGAGAGCCAGACCAAGGAGCTTGGGTAGGAGCCACTGAAAGTTCAGGGTCCGAATGGAAGAACTAATAATGGCAAAGTTCACCTTAGAGACTCTTCTGTGTGGACAGTGTTCCCCATCATCTCTCACAGCCCCAGGGGGTGGGTTTTACTTCTACTGTCCTGGAGGAGGCTGGGGCATAGAGGTAAAGTAACTGGCTAAGGTTGCGCACCAAGAGAGTGACTGTCTCCCACACTGCCCGAGGTCACCAGAAAGCCCTCCAAGCTGCTGAGTACTGGAGGCCACCGAGGGGCCAGGTGGATGGTTGGCCCTCCCTCAACTGCTGTGGTGATAGTGGGGCCCAGGAGAAGGGGCAGGTGTGTGCGGTTAGGTAATCAATCGGACTCCGTGCTCAGATGGGGCAGGGTGGGAGAGGCTCTGCCTTGGGTCTGGGGAGGATGCAGGAGGTGAGCCCATGAGCTAGGGCTGATTTTTGGCCAGGGACCGACTCGCGAGTTAACCCAGCATTGGGATACTTGTGCAAGGGATACTCCGGGGGACTCCGGCCAGAGCAGAACAGAGAAGGACCTAGTAGGATGTATGGTGAGGAGGGACAGGACAGCAGATACAGGGAGCAGAATGTTAGGGGGGCAGTGGAAAGCTGGCCAGAGAAGAGCCTGCACAGAAACTGCCCTCCTCCTAGGCCTGGGCTACGCCTCCATGGTGATCGTCTTCTACTGCAACACCTACTACATCATGGTGCTGGCCTGGGGCTTCTACTACCTGGTGAAATCCTTCACCACCACGCTGCCCTGGGCCACGTGTGGCCATACCTGGAACACTCCTGACTGTGTGGAGATCTTCCACCACGAAGACTGTGCCAATGCCAGCCTGGCCAACCTCACATGTGACCAGCTTGCTGACCGCCGGTCCCCTGTCATCGAGTTCTGGGAGTGAGTCAGGCACCTCTGAGCCAGGCCCAGCCTATCCCTTTCTGGGCTCCACCCAAGTTCGCATGGGTTGGTTGGGGCCCAGCCATGGGGCTGATTCCCAGCAAGAGTACTCCTGGGCCCTGCCTGCCCTCAGGGACCCCCAGCCCCAGTGCCTAGGGGAGCCAGGATGGATGAGCCTTGCTCCTTCAGCACCATTTGTCACTCTGGGCCCTGTCAATTCAGGTGCCTACTAGCCTTGGGGAGTGGGGTAGCCACCAGACCACTCCCTGTGGCTCCTGGGGCCCAGGAACACACACTGTGATGTGTCCAGGCCTCAGGCTTGGGGCTGCCTGGCCCAGGGGCTCAGAAGTGACCAGCTGGTCACGGGGGCTGCAGGAGTGGGAGGACCACCCCTGGGACAGCTCCCAGCTCCTTTAGCCTCTGCCGACACAGCCCTCATGGGCTCTCCCTCCCCCAGGAACAAAGTCTTGCGGCTCTCCAAGGGGCTGGAGGTACCAGGGGATCTCAACTGGGAGGTGACCCTGTGTCTGCTGGCCTGCTGGGTGCTGGTCTACTTCTGTGTCTGGAAGGGGGTCAAGTCAACAGGAAAGGTACAGCTGGGGGTGACAGCAGGGCTGGGGGGCAGCAATGCCTGGGGGAGTCTCTGATGGGAACTACTGTTGCAACAGGAGGTGGCTGGGTTAGGGCCAGGGCCTGAGCCTGTGGAGGGGGCAAATACTTCAATCTAGGCCACTTGATTCCCCACCCCATGGCTTCGTAGTCCTCTCCACCCTCCAAATCCAAGTCTAGCAAGGCTTCGGTCCTGAGCGGGAGAGGCCCAGGCAGCAGCTGCCCCTTCTCTGTGTTGGGCATCCCTGTTCCCTCCCTCCCTCACAGCTCCTCCCCATTCCTCACTCACCTTCTGAGTCTATTTGATCTGAGTGGACCTGCTC